CCAATGCCAAATCCGGCGAAACAACTGGCCGCTGTGATACAATTGTATAATAATAATAATAATAATAATGCAACATTAATGATAAAATGTAAATCGGTTGGCAATGGAAGGGGAGATGAAGTACTCTTAGATGTCCAATAAAATGAAAGACAAACAGTTCATAAATTCACAGATGTTACTGCCAAAATTTCCCCTCTCAAATCAAACCCAAAACATGCTAGACCAGGAAAATGGCATTTCTTTCTCAGATAAGAGCCGTAATGGCTCTTATGGTTAGAATGCTGTACTGCAGGCCATCTCATTGCTCACTTCAGGAGTTCGATTCTGAGCGGCTCAAGGTTGACTCAGCCTTCCATCCTTCCGCGATTGGAAAAAGGAGGACCCAGATTGTTGGGGGAAAGACTCTGTAAAACCGCTTAGAGACGGCTGTAAAGTGGGCAGTAAAGCAGTATATACCATAAATCTAATGTTATTACTATTGCTTTCTCTTACCTGCTCTTTGTTCCATGATGGGGGCAGTTGCCAAGGGAACGGACTTGAGGTCAAAGGGTTTTTCAGAGGGGTCCAGAGTATATTGATGCAGAGCCCTCTCTAGGCCAGGGATAGATACTGTCAATCCTGGAAAAGAAAAGTGTTGAACCTTGCAAAATGCAAGAAACTAGACAAGTCTTTGCCAACTTCTAAATCAGAGCAGAGGCAATTCTCTTCTTCTCTAATTCCATATGGTTCCTTCTATTGAAAGAGCTTGGGTTTTTACCAGTTAAAATGCCCCCCCCCTCCCCACAGCTTCATTTCTTGTGTCTATTTCCAAATATAGCCACATCTATTTATTTAGCCTAATGAATGTGTGTGTTTCAAGCATATCCTCAAAAGATTACTTCTGGAAACCTCTAATCCCTAGAGGAGAAGCAACATCTGGTATACATCTGTTTCCATTTAACGCTCAAACACAGGGGACAAGGAGGCTCTGCCAGGCATCAAAGTAGAGTTTGCTCAGACAGCAAATGTTACTACCACAGAGGAGCAGAGCTGGAAATTAGGGTGCCCGCCTCCTTTGCTCTTCATGCCATGTTAGCCATGTCTGTTAACCTACAGGCATTCAAAAAGAACCATCAATGCCATCAATCAAAGGAAGACTTCCAGCCAGCAGGCATTTGAATCCTGAATGCTGCCCTAAACCAAAACGTATCAGCTATAAGGATAGGAAATCATGCTTTCACTCTGGCCTTGTTCATTTTTCAGCCCTCAAGAAGAAATGGATTGCTGTGTCTTAAATGTGTAAATAAAGAATTGAGTTCGCTCAATGGTGGCAATGAACCGCATAGATTATGAAGTGAAGGCATTCACCCTGTTCAATGACCCCTCAGCATACAGACCAGCAAAGACATCAGAGATGAGAACGATGGTCACACAAGTGAATGATTATCTCAGCCAACTCAAACAAAACAACTGTATGATGGAGAAGGAATGGTGAAAAATAAGAGGAATAGACCATGCCCCAGTGAGATTTTGCGGACTTCTCAAAATACACAAAATAGGAATCCCTGTCAGATCTATTGTAGCGCTACAACCCTATCTATAACCTGGCTAAATGGCTGTCAAAACACTTGAGCTTCTGGAAAATAAATAACCAAATCAACAGAGGTGATTTAAGGATTGCCCTCATCTCTGACACAATGATGTTGAGATGATGAGAAGGCACTATTACTTACTAGTGGGGATATGGCCTAATCTAAAAGTCATACAACTTGAAAAGTATTCAAGGCAATAAATAAGAAAGTTATGAGTAAAACTCTTTGCATCATTCCAGGATTTGGATAGAGGAAAATATCTTTCTTTCTAGTCTGAATCCAATTTATAATTTATGAATTCTGAGCAAACTACATCAGATTGCTTTTAGCTCTTAAGCAATTTAAAATTTCTCTTTTCAAAAATAGAAGTTTAAAGTTTTGCAGCCTCCAACATGCCAAAATATCGTGATTTGCAAATTTTTACTGAGATCAACGTTGTAAATGACTTGAGGTCATTTAACAATATTCAACATTTACGTGTTTTATCATGTGTGAAGGTCCATCAATATGAGTGACTTAATTTTTTTTTTAAAAAGCAGTGAATAATGAACTTAGGATACCGTTCAGAATGTAGCCAGCGTTGAGGGCCTTTTGCTTCTGCTCCAATACGCTTAAGTAGAAAGTAGCCCTGTCTCTGACTTCGTTGTCGTCATCCATCACACACCTGAAGTGTTTTTTTTTAAAAAAAGAAGGTTCTGCTTAATTGGAGGAATGTATATTTTCTTAGACACCCCCCCATCTAGAACATTAAATCAGTGTAACCAATCAGGAAACATAACATGACACATTACAACAACAGGATACAATTGTGTGCAAATAATGTTGTTTTCTTACATAAAAGTGGGACAAGATAGTTTGTACCTGCAATGGAAGGAAGCTAGAGGTTTGCAAGCTCCAGCTAATTCACACCTGCTAGAGCTGGCCTGATCTCCCTTGGGTGGATGAGTGATTGTGGAGGTGCTGTGGCTGCCATAACTTTGAAACTAGGTCATAAGCACCATCTGGGGAGTCTGTGGTTACTTTGAACAGTCACTATGTGACTGGTTAAAAGTTGAGGACCTATAGGCTTGCATTAACAGTTTTTAGAAAGTATAATCAGATCCCAGTCACTAGCTATGTAAGAAAATGACTAAAAAATATGCTCAATATGTCCTGGTGATACGGAATCTAATCATCTTTAGAGATTTATTGTCACTTCAGCACATACTAAATTTTCACTTACATTTTTATATGGCATTTTACGTTTTCCACCTTTGCCATGTGGGCAAGCTGCTATTCTTAAAGCTCACCTTTTCAGTAACACTAGGATGCTTGGTAGCATTTCCTCATTCTGAGCCCCAAATTTAGCCAGAGCGCTCACTGCACCTGCAAACCAGTGAAAAAAGGTAGAAGGAGTGATTAATTGGAAAAGACAAGGAAGACAAGGAAGATGTTTGCCATTTATTTAGCTATTTGTATATAATGTTACTGCAGCCAAATATGATTAGGAAAACGTTATTAAAACAGTTCCAAGGTTCAATGGATTTGAGTACTTATCTAAAGCTAACAGGTGGAGTTCTTTAAAGTATTTGAATATGTCCTAGTTTCCTGATTCCCATTTAGCTCAATTAGCAATTCTCCCAACCCATTCAACTATTTTCTATGTGTGGATGAAATTCAGAAGAAATTAAGTAAAATGTGTTTATTTCAAAATGTTGTCTATAATCTGGTGATAAAAGAGTTCAACTGCTACAACAAATCCAAAGGAGAAAAGCTGGGCCTCTAATATCCAGTTTCAGAATCTCCCAAGCATGATTGTAAAAGATCCTTGCTTGGGGATACCAGAAAGCTGCTACCAGTTAGAAACGATGATGGTGAAAAACAGTAGACCAAAAACCCACCTAAGTTTCCAAAATTCTTACAGCATGTTTTTTTTTTCTAGTGCACATACCTGCCCTGACTTCTTCATGTTCCAAGACGACTCTGTTGTAAATGAAACGAATATATTTTGAAGGATTGTTGGTCTTTGGCCCTTCCTGGCCCAGCAAGTGGAGAATTCGGGTGGCCAGGACAGTGAATTCACAATCTTCAATGAACTCGCATAGGTGGGAGAGGCCGGTTTCCTTGCTTTCAACATTTTCTTCTATGATACTGATGATACATTCAACAATGGCTCGTTTGTAATCAAAGCCACCCTAAGCAGATAAGGAGAATGGATCAGAATGACAGATTAGGCTTGCCTTCCTCACGTGCTAGCTCATTATTTTATAAAGAAGACACATCTAGGCAAGCCAGGACTAAAACCTGTATGATCTCAAGTTCTAGGCTATGTTTCTTATGATTTGGTCTTATGATAAAAAGGTACTGCAAGAATTACATAGAAGACATCTGATCAAGCTACCCAAGATACTGTGGATCAATTTGTATTTCTGTCCTTGGAAGAATTTACACTTCTGTCCTACTTTTCTAGAAAGAGCTCCACTCTGTGAACTCTTTTGTATGCAAATGACTGGTGAAAAGTTAAAAAAATCTAACTATGCTGTGTAGTCCCAGAAATCTGGCCTGTTAGTACACAAAATTAAAGTTCCTAACAAATATTGGTTGCTAATTTTTAATTCAGGTTTAATCATTGTATTTTTCTTTGAACAATCTTTGAACAATTTTGTCCATTTCTTACTCCACTCTGCTTCATGTCTTTGTAACTAGGCAGTGATTTATTCTTTTTCTACAGCCTGGGAAACTGGCCTTCAGCGTGCAGAGATATCCTTATCCATGTTTTAGGAAATGAAAGGAAATTTATGGAAATGAGGCTAACACTTCTGCTATAGGCACAATCCCATATGCCTAAATATTTGTGTGTTCAGGCTGAGATCATCAATTATTACTTATTAGAGGATCACTGGCAGCCTATCTGCCTATGAAATATATAGTAGTGCAGAGTTGGTCTAGCCACCTGACTCTACAACAGATACCTTGATTTGTCAAAGTCACCAACAACATTGACTGAAGGAGACTGGGTCCTATTTTTGCTATAACCTTTTGAAATTGAAAACTGCTCTGTTACAAGTTCTCTTTAAATTTCAAAGCAAGCAAACAAGGAAGGAAAAAACTCTTGTTTTTCTGCACAGCAAAGAGTCAACAATAATGACAATATCTCAAGCAGTCAAGCTTACCTCCTCACGTAGCATTGTGAAGAGGAAACTCATAAGGACAGCATGCTTGCGTGGATATTTTTGACAGAGGGCACTGATAGCCTGAACCACCACAACCTAGACGAAATCGGGAATTAAACAAGCACCATGAACAACCAGAATTATCCCCATCAGCCAATCCATCCCACAACATGAAACACGATGAAGGCCTAACACAAATAATGTTCCATGCCTTGAACTCATCCGAGATTTCAGACATGAATGAGGAGATCTGTTTCATGAGACGGTCAATGCTACTCTCACTGCCAGTTTTCAATAGAGTTGTGATGGCCAAGGTAGCAATGCTGCGATTGGAGTCGGTCACGAGATTCTCCAAGTCAAGGTTACAGGCAGTCACAGCAGACGGATGCTTCATGGCAACCTAATAAAGAGAAAACAAAGTAGAATTCACCTCATGCAAATCAGGTGACCTTGACAGCATTGATATACAATTAAATGTATATAAATCAAAGGTATATCTGGAAAGAATGAGCCAGATACCTCTATTTTGCCAGGAATGTATCTAGCCATGTGCTCCTCATTCCCCCACCCCTTTTGCTTGCTTCTGGTTCATTCAGTCTTCATCCCTTCAATCCTATTCTTTTTAGACCACAATTTCCACTAATCCAGATTCTTCTCTTTTTAGTAAACTTGCAGTTTACTCACCAGGATCTTCAATCAAAGTTTGATCCTGGAATATGAAACAATCTATATTTCTCTCTCTTTTTTTAAATGCAGGAGCCATTCTGCCTTTATTTGGAAAAATAAGATTTGCTAAGTAGCCAAAAAGATAGCAAAGTATAAGAAAATTAAGGTTCTCTCATGAAGATTATTTCATAGGTAAACACAAAGCCAGGATTGATCTCCTGATCTTCCTACACTGCCACAAGGACAGAAGTTGGGCCTCACATGAGGAACCTAGAATACCCAACAGCCAGTGGAGATACTTGGATTCCAAATTGAATCTTAAGAAAGCAATCACTAACAGCTATGCTCTAGGTTTCAGGTTCAATTTCTTGGATCCATCTTACCTTGTTGAGGGTTCGGACGGCTGCATAGCGAAGAGCTGCTTTGGGTGAACTACAGAACAACTGCAACACTAGGAAAGGTAACATTTATAAAACGTTACTCCCACCATTTTATAAAAGGATGATTCAGATCCATTATTAGCAGCCTCACTATATAAGATACCAGGGAAATGGGGAAATGATGCAGAAAAGACCAGCTTATATCCTTCAAAAAGGCCCCAAAGAAGGCATAAATTTACATTTTACTTTAATAATTTATAAACTATCAACTGGGGATTGCAAGTAGTATCTTCTTCAGTTCCTTGTTTGTTTCCCTCATTAAGCTTCTTTCCTCTTGTGAAAAACTGAACCCCCACCCCTGCCCCCCCGTATTACAAGATCAGACCTTTCACTGAGACCATTAGACAGAGATAAGTAAACTGCACACATAACACACATACACACATTGTTGCTCTATGAGTTGTCACTATATTGATACTACTCTGCAATACAGTCCCAACATCTAAACATGAAGCAACATGGCTGAAAGTGTTAGTAACCTTACATAAATACAGCAACAAAGTTCATTTTGCAGCCAGTAAAACCTCATTTAGAATTAATAACCAAACCAAAACATGTCAAGTAGCTCAGCAGACCTTAAGCATGAAATCATTAAAAAAAATGTCACCATTACCAGACACAGCAGGTGCTAGTTCCTTAGCTGTGCATTCAGGCAGGTTAACAATGGCCGATGCTGCTTCATAGACCACCATTTCATGCTTGTTCCGTAAGCAGTTTTCAATGAAATCAAACAGTGGACTATCCCGGCTAGGACAAGAAACAAACAACAAAAAAAACCAAGAAAAATAAATATTAGATTTAAACACCCATTATCACTCACTTCATTTAAACACTAGTGACTGGTTCTTTTTTCTGTGATTAAAGTTCAGTGTATAAGTATTGGGTTGAAATTGCTGATCAGATGGTACAAACACCAGTATTCTTTAAATTTAAACAAGACAATTGCAGATGATAAAATATTACTAAATCATCAATAATTCATTCTGCTCAATCTTGTTTTGTGAGATAGCAAATTTAAGAAAATCAACAGATTGCTAGTGTCTCTATTGATATGTCTATAATATATTATAGACATATCAACAGAGACAATGGCTTATGCAATTGTGTCTTTACTGGAGATGAAAAAAAATACAATATGGTACAGAATAAGTGTTTGGACATGTATTAGTGGGGCGTGGTTTGGATATGTGTTGGTGAGGACATGTGGTGGTTGGTGAGGACATGTATTGGACTAGAACTCATGGTTACCCTGTTTCTAGCCTGGTGCTTTAATCACTTACACTGAACTGGCTCTGTAGACCAGGGGTGTCAAACTGGAGGCCCATGGGCCGCATGCATCATACATAAGCCATACCCACCCCAGCTCTGTGAAGGAGAAAAACATTGCAAAACACCACGTGATGGCAATGTGGTGCCACCCATGCTACAAGCATACATACATCATATTTTGAAGACAGAAAGATGTCCTTACCCTCCAGCTTCCTCTTCAAGCAGCTTACTGGCGACTCGAATCATCATGCAATAGGCAAAAGGTGACTTCAACCCATGACGCATGAACTTGTTTAGCATCTTGTTGACAGCCAAGCGATCATTCTTACGAATGTGATATAGCAAGCCAAGAGCATGATACTGGAACAAGGTAGCAAAGGAAGATAACCTGTCAACTTTATTTCTGTATTTGTACACATAAATTCATCAGACTGCACAGCATTATACACCCTGGATAAGTTTTAAAACTCTTACTTGGACCATGATATTATCACTAGATGCTGCCTCCTGAGCTTCATTCACCCAACGTTTTACTATATCAAAACTCGTCTTTAGAAGGTGCTGTAAAGGAAGAAAAACAGAGAACATAGCAAGAAGTTGCTTCAAATGTCAAACAGAAACATTGCAATTGGCATAGAATAGCTCCCCAAAAAATTAGAACTTTTATGGCCCAGGAGTTACATTACATCATTATTTTTTTATTCTCTCTTTCTGTCTTATTCGTGATCTAAAATAGTGACAGTTTGTCCCTTTAAAATAATTTAGCAAAAACAAACACACAGCTACATCATTGCTTTTTCCAGACAGTGAAATGGCTCCATCAATTAAGAATGGCCATGCACCATTCTACAACTCACAGAATCGACAAAGAACTATTCATCTGTCAATTCTTTCTATGCCTGGGTCAGGTGAGGTTTTCCATCAAAGTTTTCACTTTTTTTTTTAAAAAAGTGTCCTGTTGGACAATAAGCACTCAAAATTTCTTGCCTATTTCATAAATTCTGCAAGCACACGTACCAAAGATGACACCAAGGCAGAGCTGGACACACTGGGAACCTTGTCGACGATCGCCTGCTTCATGTAGCGCTCAATAGATTGCAGCATGGTGGTCTGCAGAGAAGACAGAGCATGAGAGGCTGGTTGGAAAGGACATAGAAGAACATCTCCCACAACTTCCAAGAATGGACAAGGACCATAGTAAAGGAGCAAACAATGCAGGAAAAGGGAAAGAAAACCCACCAAGAAAAAAAAAAAAAAGGAAGATGCAGATAATGATGGGAAGGTGTAAAAAATGACTAGGATTGCGAAAGATGCAAACGTTTCATACGTACATCTGTAATTTTGCAGAGTGCTCGCACAGCAGGGCCTCTATAGTTGTCATCCTTTCCTGTCATATCTTTTGTTAAGCTGGACAAAAATGGAACAGAGATGTTAGTATTATGTATTTATTATATCAGGTGTTAAGAGTCCAAAAATTGACTTCCCTGGGAATCTCAGTTGGAACATAATGTCTTTCAATACATAGGTGCCGTGTATATCACAAGATATGCACAATGCATATTATCAACGTAGCATTTCGTTGTGTAAACACAGAGAGAGTGAGATCAGATTCACCCATTGCCCTAAATCATTAACCCTACTTCATAGATCCCAATGGTTGGATGTGTAGCACATGCTAAGACAAATGAAACAACCCACACGTGTATATGTAACACACATATACACACAGTTATTGACTAACATTGGTAGACATCATTTAATATTTTGAATGTGGTCAATATTATTATGAACCTTACTTATAATTATTATTAATAATTATAAATCATGTAATTAAAGAGCAAAAAGGGAAGAGAGGAGAGAGAGAGAGAGGAGGGCAACACATATCAAAACATATCTTGTTGTATATGTGTTTGGATACCTCAAACCAATTAAGTGGTGAGAGCTTTTTATATAAGCGTTTCAATAGCCTTTAAAAGCTACCATTTATTTTTACTTGCGTCCAGTTTCATTATCTATTTTTAGTACTGCTGCTCCTCCCCCACAGCTTATATGATTGAAATGTTATACAGTTTGATTGATTCAAGTAGGAAATTACCTGCTTGTTACTATAATGACATCTTCCGAAATGCTAGACATCTCTTTGATGGTCAGGTAACACATTCTGCGGAGAGTTGACTAACACAGAGAACAAACCACAGACTTAGAATGTACAGATATTGACAGGACATATAAAGTGGCCAATATTGCAGGAAAAGATGAGGTCCCTATATATTTTGCAACTGGATAGCACAAATCAAAACTTAGAACCCAGCATAGGAAATAATAAGTAGGAAATATTTTGTCAAGAGACACCTGGTATGTGCAAATGGAGCCTGGCATCAAGCCATCGTGAGAGCAAGATGCCAAAGTTGTCATCCCAACAGTGACATCAATTCCTAGTCAACTCAGCTAAGTACCAATGCCACCCTTTCAGAGGCCCAGCAGAGTTCTGACTAGACAGCCAGCTACCAAATCCAGAAGGGCAACCATTTTTGAAAGGCTGATAACTGAAAGATCATGCAAAGGGGGGGGGGGGAAGAGAGGAAATGGTTATCTCCAAAGGAAAACTGGGATTCTATAGCACAAAATATTCAAATTGGAAAGTAAAGTATGTATAGAAACATAGGTTCAAGGATATCTAAAAACAGAACTAAAAACATAGGCTTATGGAAAGAAGTATAAAAACAATAGGCATACAGCAATAAGGAAAAAAAATGTTAATAGGTATACGTTAACTGTGAGATAAGAGTAAAGCATCACCTATAAAAAGTATAGACACTGTAGATGCACTAGAATACGTTTCAAATATACTTACAAGTTAGTTTTCCAAGAAAGTGCTTAATTAGAGTTTAAGTAATAAACTGATCATACTTGGGATCAAAAGCTTATCCTGTACATGTCTGTAATTTTATCCCTAGAACAACCCATGACAACGGAGCTTCCAAACAGAGACCCTACATCCACTTTCCAGCCTAAGTAAATGTCAAAATGCACAATGAAAGACTCACATCATTGGACTGGAACAGTTTGGTCATTGCAAAGAACGATTCGGTGGCTTCCATCACACCAAGATGCTCTCCCTAGAATGAAAAGAAAAACGCACATTGGCTAGTATTTGTGCCAGTAGGTACAAATACTAGCCAAGAGACTAACCAAGAGAAGCTCACAACTAGAGTTAACCCAGCTGAGAGGAAAAGTTAGTGAGAGCCAATGACCCCATCACAAAGAGTCACCTCTTTGAGACAACTGCTGGCTCCTTTATTATTGAAAAAAGAACTGAAGGGATTCTAGCAATTTAACTATAATGTTGGCAAGCAGAGCAAGTATTACGAAGCCCTTGTAAATAAAATCTCTCTTTTACCTGGTTTATGAGATACAAAATCTTTGTGAGGATATGAGCGCATTTCCGAGGATTTATAGGTGTCTCGTTGAAAACTCGGGCCTAGGACAGAGAAATGTAGACATGAGAATTTTGGGATATATTCAGGGGCTTTTGCCTTAGAAGAAAAGATAGGCATTATTTGGGAACTTACTTCTTGCAGCACAGCACTTTTTTCCAAGTGTTGGAAGGGATTGGAACCTCCCCCTGCAATGTAAGATAAGTCAATTTAATTAATGATCAAGGTTTTCACATGGGCAAAATTTCAATTGGGAAAGTCCAAGTTCATTTGCCCCTTAATAAAAGTTAATATTCCTGAAAGAAACATAACAACAAAAGTTGGAGAGATTAAAAGAGAAAGAAATGCAGTCATTCTAAGCAATCATGAACGTTTTCAAGTGCAAATGGCACCGAAATGTCACAAACTATTAACTGCCTTGCAATTAAGTGGGATCAATTGCAATTAAAGGACAAATATCATTCTGTATTTCTCAACTTCATATGCAATGTGAAAAATACATAAGGAATAACGCAACTCACAAACAAAAATATCTTTTACTATTAAAAGGATATTCAATGTTACAATGAGAAAAGCTAGGGAGATACATTCTTTACTGTCATATAAAAAGCACACAGCTTCTAGTCAGCTGCAGCTTTAATTGGTCACTTCTTTAGCATCTTGATCCACTGCTCATGTTTCTCAATATTTATGTATTTGGAAATGTATATTGCCACCTATTTGCACATGGCGACTCAAGGTTGCTAACAAGGATATGGGGAACCTGGGTTAAAAGGCAAGGATTCTGAGAAGGGAGAGTGTGCATTTGAGGATGGAAAAGTAGAGAAAGGAAAAAGAATAAGATACAGAGAAGTTGCACATGATGGGACACGGTTGGCTTTTAAAAAGTCATAAGATTGTGCTGGAATGGAACCAAGGGTTATCTAGTATTGCATTCTACAAGAATCAGCATTGGAACCAAGGGTTATCAGCATTGCATTCTACAAGAATCTTGCAGATTTCAAAAGAAGCCATGAACACAACGATACCGTCCTGGGGATACCATACAACTTTGAATGGTCACTAAATGAATGGTTGTAAATCAAGGATTACCTGTATGCTACCTCTAAGATCAGGGGCTACACGTTCTTAAATAATATAACTCAGGGTTATATTATTTAAGAACATGTAGCCCCTAATTTTGGAGGTAGCATACGGGTAATCCTTGACTTACAACCATTCATTTAGTGACCATTCAAAGTTACAATAGCACCGAAAAAAGTGACTTACAACTATTTTTCACACTTATGACCTTGTAGTATTTCCATGGTCATATGATTAAATTTAGATGCTTAGTAACTGGCATGTATTTATGATGCTTGCAGTGTCCCAGGTTAATGAGATCACCTCCTGAGACCTTCTGACAAGCAAAGTCAATGGGGATACCTCAATCCCTTGACAACCGAGTTATTAACTCAACAACTTCAGTGATTCACAAAATTCACTGAACAATTTTGTTGCTTGCCAACAGAAATTTTGGGCTCAATTGTGGTCATAAGTTGGGAATGATCCATATAGCAGTTACAAAGAGCAGCTATTAACATGCTATTTCTTTTAAAATTGTCCAAATAGATGTCCATCACTTTCATGATAAACAAATTATTTGATTTAACAATATGTGTTAATAGTTCCTTCTTCTTATCGTGATATTCTTTCCATTCATTATGTCTTAAATTTAGTTATCATGGAAAATTAACACACTTTATATTCCCTGGCTTTCCTTCTACCCCCACAGCTGAAGATCCTCAAATAATTTAACTTTTAGATACTGGTGTATCATGTTAACCAGGTAAGCAGCAGTCTCTGTGCCTATTCAAGTTATAATATCCTTTTTTTATGAACAGATTATGGTAATTTCATCTTCAGCTCCTTAATTTTGATCTCCACTGTGATGTTTGCATCTTTCTTCAAAGTTATATGGTGAAGTCAGTAATTGCATTGAATTATTATTATTATTATACAATTGTGTCACAGCGGCCAGTTGTTTCACCGGATTTGGCATTGATTACTAGTCGGGCCCCACCCAGGGGCCTAGGACGTCGTAACGTATTTTCGTAATATGCGTGCAGATCCAAGCAGTGCGGCTTTTTGCATTTGACTGATGGTGATTTTGTCAATTTTTAACTGTTTTAAATGTAACTCCAGTGCTGGTTTGTGCCATAATAGTTGAATTTCGATTTTTAAGTCCTGGCATTTTGCGATTTTTTCATATTCCTTCTCGATAGACCCTGCTATCACCTCGTATTGAGATGTCTATGATTGATTATTATTATTGTTGTTTTTGTTATTGTTATTATTGTTATTATTATGTGGTTAATATTTGGTGATATTCACAGCCTTTGGGGTTGCTCAACAGCTCGAGTCCTAACCAAGGACCTAGGAACTGTTAAGGTAATGTCGGAGGATATAAGCTGTTCCAAGCAGGGTGGTTTTTTGTAGAATCAATGTTCAAGTCTGATAAATTTAAACTTTCCAAATAGC